CTGGTCAGGATCGAACTCCTGGCAGTGGGCAGAGTTAGCCTGCAGTACTGCATTCTAACCACTGCGCCACCAAGTCCTTCCTTCCTTCCTTCCTTCTCCTCGTTTTACCAATGTCGGAAGGATGAAAAGCTGAGTCGACCCTGAGCTGGTACAGGATTGAACTGCTGGCAGTGGGCAGAGTCAGGTTGCAATACTGTGTCACCAAGTGGCTCCTTAAGGTAATTGCCACAAAATGATGGGCTAGGACACTTGCAGAAGATCTATTTCCCAGGGTCAGTTCCTCGGGGAGGGGGTGTCTCTACTCCCCAAGGGGAGGGGTCTTCTCTAGTTCCCATATCCCACTGCTCCAGAGGTCCACCAGGATGCTCCTCAGAGCCTCTCCCAACCACCAATAAATTCCTTCCGGACACGAGCTCAGCCCCATCTCAGCCGGAGGGGACATGCAGACGTTTCAAAAGAGGAAGGAGGGGAAGAAGAGGAAGGGGCAGGAAAGGAGGGTGTGTGTGGATCAATGTGGGGGGAGGATTGGGATGTCTCTACGGGTCTAGGACAACTCGCCGCAGCCAACTCAACATGGCCAATTCAACATGGCCAACTCAACATGGCCAACTCAACATGGCCAACTCAACATGGCCAACTCAACATGGCCAACTCAACATGGCCAACTCAACATGGCCAACTCGCTGCAGTCAACTCAACTTGGCCAACTCACTGCAGTCACTCAACATGGCCAACACACTGTGACCAACTCAACATGGCCAACTCACTGCAGTCAACTCAACATGGCCAACTCGCTGTGGCCAATTTAACATGGTCAACTCGCTGCGGCCAACCTGCCACAGCCAACTGGCCATGGTCAACTCGCCATGGGACAAGAATTACACTAATATCAAAGAAATGGTGGCATAGAATCATTTAAGAAAAGGAGGGACAAAATGAAATGGGAATGACAACGATTAAAAGTATTCCTACAGGTGAAAATATAATTTAAAAAATATTAGACTGTGGGTAAATAGGTTGGTTAACATTAAAGACAAAGGATAAAGAAGACACAGAACATTTTTTAACATGGGATTTGTTTTATCAACGGTTAGATAATAGGGCTAGAAATTAGAAATTGGATAATAATAATATTATTACTATTATTATGTATAATTAAATTGACCCAGACAGTGACACTGTTTTTACTAAGCACCTATCTATGTTAAAGGAAAATGAGTAAATATATATATATATATATATATATATATATATATATATATATATATATATATATATATATATATATATATATATATAAAAAAGTATTTTTTAATTGTCATAAATAATTGAATTGCTGAATTGTCCCGAAGCGAGTTGGCGGCGGCGAATTGTCCCCTTCCGTGTCTCTACGGAGAGGAACAGGCAGGAAACAGCACAGCCGGATGGAAAAAATGCCGAATTCGAATACCTGGTTGGGTTTTAGGAGGTCTCAGCCCACCAGCACCAGAGCAGGGCCACTATGACAATCAGTCCTATGAGAGGGAGGGAGATCGTGGGAGAGCCCGGGGTGGGGGAGACCTGGTGGAGAGTGTGGTGGGGGGAGGGAAGCGTGAAATGCCATTCAGACAGAAGCCAGATGAGCCGGGGAGGAGGAGGAGGAGGAGGAGGAGGAGGAGAGAAAAAGAGAGAGATTAGAGGATTTACAACCTGGGCCGAACTTGGTGGGTTTCGAACCTGCTTAAGTGCTGCAGGGCTCAGCAGAGAATGGGGTCATGGGAATCACACTGGATAACCGAGTTTGCAAAGGTCTCTCGGGAAAGTTGGCTAAGACATGGGATGAGATCGGTGGTGGGATTCAACCAGTGTAACAGCCGGTTCGCTGAGCGCACACATGCACGCACGCCAAACACGCATGTAAAACAGCTGAGGCGCAGCAATCCGCTCAGACGAGCCTATCAGCTGGGCTTCAAACGAAGAAAATATAGGTTGGTATAGCGCTGGGGCGGACGGGCCCAGCTGATCATCGGACCTACCGGTTCCCCCAAACCGGTATGAACCGGCTGAATCCCATCCCTGGATGAAATGCCTCCAGAAGAGTTTCGGTAGCGATGGTGAGGTTCTGGTAGCCCCAGGGAGAACTTAAGATATGGGCCCTCATCCAGAATGGTTCCACAATCTCTCAATTCAAGACACTCCTTTTGATTTTGGAAGGCTGCCCCATGGAAGAGGGTGTGGAGCTACCCTCCAGATCACCCAAGAGAAGAACCAAAATAATAAAAAAAAAGATGGACGCTTAATAAGGCGAGATCCATCTTCCACCAGTTGGGTCTTCTCAGACCTTCAGGTGTTCTGGGGAAGATCTCCCCACCCCGTTCCTTGGGACAATCCTTCAAGGACTGGAAGATGTTTAACCTTCTGTTCCTTAGGCTAAACAAGTCCAGTTCCTTCAACCCATCTTTCTGGGATTTCATCTCCGAGCCCTTCACCATCTAAGTTCTCCTCCTCTGTCCTCCTTCCCGTTCCTCAGCTTCCTTCTTGAATTGTGGTGGTGAGAACTTTCGACGCAACATGCACAACATCGGCAACCAAATAGAGAATCCCTATCTGTTGACCATCTACTCCTTGACCACTCGACAAGGAGAACTTTCTGGTGGCCAAAGGCGCTTCTTATTTCCCAAAAGACAAGTGGACAAGTAGTTGTGCTGGGCTCCAGATGAGACCATGTGTGGGCCACCAGAAAGTGTCTACGGAAATTCTCAATTATCTAGGTTCGTGATGGCGAACCTATGGCACGCGTGCTAAAGGTGGCAAGCAGATCCTCTCTGTGGGCACGCATGCCGTTGACAGCTGCTCTTCTGGCTTTTGGCACCCAAGGTCTTCGTGGGTGCCAAAGTGCCGGAAAACGGCCAAAAACAGGCCAAAAATGACCTGAAAATGGCCCAAAAAATGGCCAAACCTGTTGTGGCCTAGGCTTCCTGAGTCATTAAAACACACGAGTTTTAATGACTTTTTTGCAAAAAGTCCTTCAGGAGAAGTCCTTCGGGATAATCACCCGCCTTTATCTCCCTTGACATGCTGCCAAAGACCTACTTGGCAAAGCCCCACGAAGTCCAGAATCAAACAGAGATGCCGACTGGGAACAGAATTAACAACGTTGCTTTCCTGCAAAGGGCCCACGTGCCTTTGCTCCTCTTTTAAGCCTTATGGGAGGGGCCAATCATCTCCAGGCCTTACTCCTGAGTCGTCCCTTTTGTTTTAACTGTTCTTGCCTTCTGGCAGCTCTGCACATGGACACACTAGGAACAGGCTCCTCCTGTTCCTCTGCCTCTCTGATGTCCGACTCTGGAGGCTCGGAGTCCGCGCATAACTCCCAGATGGCCCTGGCCCCAACTCTGCCTCCGACGCAGAGCCCTCGTCCAGACTCCAGGACTGGCCCATGTTCCTCCCCAGCCTCCTCACTGTCCTGACTCTGCTGCCAGCTCTGTAGGCTGCTGGCGGACCACAACAAAACCAGCCAAAAAACAGGCATGTGCGTGCCAGCCAGCTGGGTTTCCAATGCTCCAGCATGTGCAAAGACTAGCTGGATGGCATACATGCGTGTGCCGGAAACTCAAAGACCAGCTGGCCGGCACACGCTCATACACATGCATGCACGCGTGTTCCAGTTTGGGCACTTGGTGCTGAAAAGGTTCGCCATCACTGATGGTTGTCCCAAAAGTGCTTTTTTTCCAAAAGGTAACTTGACTTTTTTTTTCCTTTGGAAACATTTCGCTTCTCATTCAAGAAGCTTCTTCAGTTCTGAAGGATCAGAAGTTCTGAAGAAGCTTCTTGGATGAGAAGCGGAATGTTTTCAAAGGAAAAAACCCAAGAAAGTCCGGTTACCATTTTGGGGGTGGGGGGTGGGGAAGCACCTTTGGGATAACTGTCAGCGATTCAACGCTGGCATAGAGAGCAGAGGAGAGAGAGAGATAAGCTCTGAACTTTTGCCTGCTAAATCCCTTTGAAGTCGGGTTGTCGTGGAAATGAGGAGGGGGGACATTCCTGGGAAATGACGAGACAAGGAGTCTAAAGAATGACTTGGAAGATAGCCAATGAGAAGCAGAGATTTGGGGATCGGAAAGGGAGGGATTGGGGGCAAAAGGTCAGTCTGGTCCGCATCGAGTCATGATCCGGTGGCTGTGCTCAATTAAAGAAAAGATTTCCTTAAAGATTGGCAGTTTGGAAATTCATTTGTTTTGAGATAGCATCGAAGTCTGACAATAACCATGACCTGAATGATGGAGAATCTCCAGAGACACTTTCTGGTGGCCCACACACGGTCTCATCTGGAGCACAGCACAACCCCACACAGACACAACGGCCAAGTTATTTTACTAAAAGGTCCGTGTCTTTACTCCCACCAATGTTGGTTGCCTTCTCCTCCACGGTTTTCATCTCCGTGTCCCAGGAGATCAGGATTTCAAATAAATCATGGTGGATTCCACCAAGAAACCAGAGGAACGTAATGCTGCCAATAAAGAAGGATATTTGTAACTCAGGGTTGGAAATGAGGTGTCCTTGACCTTGGTGGTTTTCTCGGTTCATTACATCGTTCAGTTGACTAGCAGTGATGACGTTACCTAGTTTTGGTCATGAAACGTCTACAGCTAAACCACCAAGCTCACCAAGGACCATCTCCTCCTCCTCCTCCTCCTCCTCCTCCTCCTCCTCCTCCTCCTCCTCCTCCTCCTCCTCCTCCTCCTCCTCCTCCTCCCCTCCACAAACCCCCTTCCATTCTAGCCCTGAACACGTTACCTAGTTTGGCCAATGAAACGTCTTGAAGAAAACAATCAAGCTCAGAACGCCACCAAAAACACAACGCGATTATCTCTGGATCTGCCCCCGGGGCTCTTTGGAACGGCCAACGCAGAGGACCTCTATTTAATGCAGGCCTCTGAATGCAACCTTGACGAGAAGACCCCCCCCTCGCTCCCAGAGATGGCCGAGGTGGGTGGGTGGGTGGGTGCCAATGGCCTTACCCGTCCTCCTGCCGGGATGTTGCCGTTCAGCCTTTCAATCTCCTCCCTGCACAGGTGGAGTTCCTCCTGAAGCTGCTCACACTCGGACTGGCTGTGTTGGTACCTTTCCTCCAGTTCCCGCAGGTCGTGCTGCGCGCGGTCGTGCTGCCAAAAACCGAGAAGGAGGAGAACCATCACGGAGGGTCCCACCGAGAGCCCTCCGCAGGCGACCGGCTTCACACGGATGTGTATGGCACGGGCACCACGCTGGTTCTACAAAGGGGTTAGGTGTGTCGTTTGGCTGCCGTCTCTGGGGCTGGAGGGCCTCTACCATTTCAGATGAATAGCTCTCCCGTCTGTTCTTGAAAAACTCCAGTGATGGAGCGCCTACAACTTCTGCAGGGTAGCGGTTCCACTTGTTCGTTGTCCTCACTGTTAGGGAAGACAGTCTCCTTAACTCTCCTAAGTAGAACATAGGATCCTAGAGGTGGAAAGGACCTTGGAGGTCCCCTGCTCAAGCAGGAGACCCTGTACCCATGATGGTGAACCTATGGCATGCGTGCCACGGGTGGCACAAAGAGCCCTCTGCGGGCACATCAGCCGTCGCCCCAGCCCAGCTCTACCGCGTATGCATGCACGCCTTCCACCAGCCACCTGGTCTTCAGGTCTCTACTGCGCATGCGTGGAGGCGGGGCACATGCAGGGATGCATGCGCATATGTGGGGGTGGGGGGCATGCATGGGGGGCACTTGCATTGCATTTTGAGGCCTTGTGCAGCCTCCCTACTCCTCATTTTGGCTTCCAGTTTGGGTGCTGGGTGCATGCCCGGTGGGGCGGGGAAGCATGGTGGGGGGTCATGCATGCATGTGCGGGGGGGTAGGCACAGGTGGGGGGATAGCGCACATGCACAGGGGGTGGGGGCGTGCATGCATTGCATCATGGATAGAACATAGAATAACAGAGTTGGAAGGGACCTTGGAGGTCTTCTAGTCCAACCCCCTGCTTAGACAGGAAAACCCTACACCACTTCAGACAAATGGCTGTCCAATCTCTTCTTTAAAATCTCCAATGATGGAGCACCTACAACTTCTGAAAGCAAGCCATGCCACTGGTTGATTGTTCTCCCACAAAGGTTTAACAACTTGCATCCCTGTTTGGTTTGGTGGCAGCAGCACCTCAGACAGAAAGTCCCTACGGAGAGTGATGAGGACAGCGGAGAAGATTATAGGAAGTTCGCTTCCTGTTATTCAGGGTGTTGCTTATAAGCGCTATGTGTTTAGAGCTCAAAGCATTGTTGGAGACCCCACACACCCACTTCACGGTCTGATTCTGTTGCTCCCCTCTGGGAGGAGGTTTCGGATGAATAGATTCTGGGACCGCTTTGTTCCTTATGCCATCCATCTTGTAAACTCGCAGGATTCTTTTTTTTTTAGCCATGTATATGTATACATCCAAACTACACTGTGATGTTTCTCTCTGTATGTGTATGTGGGTATATATGTATAACTGTTATCTTTTGAGAGCTGATTGCAATGAAATTTCATTTTAATATATGCTGATTAGTGTACATTTAAAGTGACAAAGATTCTATTCCCGTGATGACGAACATATCAGATTCCTAGAGAGGCTCTGGAGGCTGGGGACAGCAAAAAACATCACTTCCGGTCCCACTGGGAGTTGGCTGTTTCTGGCCTCCAGAGGGCCTCCAAAGGGGTGGGGAAGGCTGTTTTCGCCCTCCCCAGATGCATAGAGAGGAACTGGAGCCAGGTGAGAAAGAAAAATGGGCCTACCGGGCCATAACGTGCCAGGAGCGAGGGAGGGAGGGTGGGTTGCGTGTGCAGGGCGGGGCTCATAGAATTATGGGTGTGGGCACATGCACACAAATCTCCCCTTCCTGGCACGCAATGGCAAAAAGCCATCACTGTTCTATGCTATTGTTTCGTGTTGTGTTGTGTTGTGTTGTGTTGTGTTGTGTTGTGTTGTGTTGTGTTGTGTTGTGTTGTGTTGTGTTGTGTTGTATTGTATTGTATTGTATTGTATTGTATTGTACTCTACTCTACTCTACTCTACTCTACTCTACTCTACTCTACTCTACTCTGTCAGGAAGTTTCTTCTTAGTTCTAGGTTGGTCCTCTCCTTGATTAGTTTCCACCCAGTGCTCAGTGGCCAGGATTAGTGGCTAGGTCTCTGGTTGTCCTCCTGTGAAATCCCACCGAACTCCCTGCTCTACCCCATGCTATTTAGCCATGCAACTGAGGGTGGAGATCATCTGTGACCTTCAGATGAGGGGCCACCAGAAAGCTGATGGCACCCAACGATGAATCCCCAATCCAAGCTGGAGGTGAAGTCTACAGGCTTGAAGAGACCAGTTGGAGAGAGAAACAAGCCCGGGATGAAACCCTAGCAAATTGTCTGTGTGAATGATTATCTAAAACAACTCGATTATTGCTTTCGTTGGGTTAAAAGGAGCTGGGTTGTGATGCGGCCATCCTTCGAGGTCAGGGGCGTCAAACTTGATTTCATTGAGGGCCGCATCAGGGTTGTGTTTGACTTTGGGGGGCCAGGGTGGGCGTGTCCAGGGTGGGCGTGGCCAGCTCAATGTCACTCATGTCGGGAGTGCCTGTGGTAGCCCAAGCTCTCCGCTCCAGAGCTCTGTTTTTGGCTGCGACGTCCTCCTGCAACCCTCTGCCAGTGAAAACGGAGCTCGGGAGGGCCGCCGGCGGCCCTCCCGAGCTCCGTTTTCGCTGGCAGAGGCACTGTGGGTCGCTCCTTCGCTGTTTCTAGGGTGGCACCCTGTAGGCCGAATCCGGCTCCTGGGCCTTGAGTTTGTCACCCCTGTTCTAGACCCACTGTGATAGGTGAGGGACACCACCAAAGGGGAGGAAAGGGGCTGATGCAGTGGTGGGTTGCCCCCAGTTCGGGTTCTATAGAACCGGTAGTAAAACCGGCAGGAGTATCCATCCACCCACCCGCCATAACATCACCACGGGTGATTTGCACATGCCGTTCACGCGCGCTCCCGTTGCGAACCGGTAGTAAAGGTAAATAGAACCCACCCCTGGGCTGGTGCCCCAATTATAACCCCTACTTGCATTAGGAGACGGGATCGTGGATACCTGGAGGTCGTCCCCACAAGATGGCGCATCAGGGCATTGTGGCAGAGTTCTCCTGCCCGGTTCTCAGAATTATAACTGCCATGGATGAGCCTCAGGATAGTTGGTTTGTACCGTGTTTCTCCAAAAAGAAGGCCGGGTCTTATTTTCTTTCGACCCACGAAAAACTGGCTAGGCCTTCTCTTTGGAGGGTTCTAATTATGTCCATCATCTGGGCTTCCCGTTCAAACATCTCAAACCACCAAGCCAATGGCAAGAACCATGGTTTGATTGGGGCCTTCCTTGAAGACTAACCTCAATTACTTGAAGAGATACTTGAGGTCCATCATACGGGCTAGAAACTAACTGGCCAGTTGTCTTTCTCAGACCTTATGACCGTTCTGCTTGTGGGCCATTTGGGTATCTCCAGATCCTGAGGTCCTCAGATGAGCTTCAAGAAACCATCTAGATGAGGCTCTTGTCACCATTAAGCTTACCTGCCCTTCCCTCCCTGGACTTTCGTCAGGTTCTTGATCAAAGGAAATCTCTTTCTTCCAGCTCCTCTCCTTCTTCGGTCTTCTCTCATTGCCTGGATCTTGACTGGAAGACTGATCTTCTCTCTCCATTTCTGGCACACTAAACTGGGCCTTCAAGCCCAGGCAAGCAAGAAGAAGGTGGGAGAGGAAGCTCCATCACCATCTCTCCTGGGGTGGCTTTTCTGTCATCCCATCCTCCCCACCTGTATCTTTTGTCTGCCCTCTTTCCTCCATATTCTAGACCAGGGGTCTCCAACCTTGGGAACTTTTAAGACTTGTGGACTTCCACAAGTCTGAAAAGTTGCCAAGGTTGGAAACCCCTGTTCTAGACAACCCAGGAGAACTTCCAGGTCCTCCCAAAGTTCTTGACTGTCTCATCTCTTCTCACAGAATCGTAAGGTTGAAAGGGACCTCCTACCATTCTGGACAAATGATTGTCCAGCTCTTTTTTTTGTTTGTTTGAAGACCACCAATCATGGAGGACCCACAGCTCCACTTAATAGCTCTTCAACTCAGGGAATTCCTCCTCAATTCAAGTTTGGGCCTTTTCCCTCTTTCATCCAAGTTCTAGACAACCCAGGAGAACGTCCAGGTCCTCCAAAGTTCTTGAAGGTCCCATCCCTGCTCATAGAATCATAGCGTTGAGGGGGACTTTGGATGTCTTCTAGTCAACCCCCACCCCCTGCCCAAGGCAGGAACCCTCCTACCATTCTGGACAAATGGTTATCCAGTCCTATCTTGAAGACCACCAGTGATGGCGTACCCATAGCTTCACTTAATAACTATCCAAGTCAGGAAATTCCTCCTCAATTCAAGTTTGGGCCTCTCCCTATACTTGTGGAGCCATGGGTTCTCATCTTAACCCTCAGGTGCTCTGGAGAACAAATGGTCTCCTTGTTCCCTGTAGGATCTCCTCAGGAATCAGAAAATGTTATCATGTCTCTCCTTCAGCTTCTTTTAGCTAAACCTACTGAGTTCCTTCCTTTAACCACTTTCTAGAATAGAGGTGAGGAATGATGGCCCCTTTATGACTTGTGGACTTCAACTCACAGGATTTCTGAGTCTGCAAGAACCAGAGCTGGTTTGGGACACTCCTTGAAGATGAACATCAATTACTTGATGTCCATCGTCTGGGCTTAGAAAACCTTCAACTTGATTGGCCCACAAGGACCTTAGCAAGGATGGTGTCACTCCATCTGCACACACTTTTGCTACTGCACAGGATGGTTCTCCTTCTATGATCTGCAAGGTAGGCCATCAAGATGTCCGCTGATCAAGACGCAGGACCGAGGCCCTCAGGTGTGTCCAAGGAACCACCCAGGATGGGCCTGAACTGATCTTTCTCCACCATTACCTGCTTACCTGCCCTTCCCTCCCTGAACTTTCGTTGAGTTCTGCGTCAAGAAGAAACTCTGCATTCCTTGCCTTCTCCCTCCAACTCTTAAAGTCATCTTCTCTCCCTTCTTTCAGGGATTCTCTCCTCCTCGATCTTCTCTTACTGAGCGGCTCTGGGTAGGAAGACTGGTCTTCTTTCTCCGTTTCTAGCAGGTTCCACTGGGTCACAATAATGCCCTGGCAGGCAAGAAGAGGATGGGAGAGGAAGCATCTCATAGCTCCATCACCATCTCTCCTGAGGTGGCTTCTCTATCATCCCATCCTCCCCACCTGTACCTTTGCCTCCTCTCTGCCCTCGAAGGCCTAGACCAGAGGGTCGGCAACCTTAAACGCTCAAAGAGCCACAAAGGTCCTAACTGGAAGCCCCCGTTCAATTCTGGAACGGACAGGAAGTCCGGTTTCCCCCATCATAGAGTCTCCTCTTAGTGCAGCGTCCTTTTTCCTCTGCCGACTGGAAGTCGGTTCCCTCACCATAGAGCTGTGATGGCGAACCTATGGCACGCGTGCCACAGATGGCACCCATAGCCACATCAGTGGGCACACAAGCTTAGCTCCTTCCGGCATCGGAAGTTGTCAAACGGGCCATTTTCGGCCTCCAGAGGACCTCCGGGCGGGTGGGGAAGGACGTTTTTTACCCTCTCCAGACTCCTAGAGAGGCCCTGGAGGCTGAGGACTGCAAAAAATGGGCGTTCTGGTCCCAACGGAAGTTGTTAAATGGGCAGTTTTTGGCCTCCGGAGGACCTCTGGGAGGGGTTGGGGAAGGCTGTTTTCGCTCTCCCCAGACTCCTAGAGAGGCCCTGGAGCCAGGTGAGAAAGAAAAACTGTCCTACCGGGCCACTGCATGCCAGGAGCGGGGGGAGAGGGGGGTCGTGCACGCATGCGCGGGGTGGTGCGTATAGAATTATGGGTGTGGGCACCCGCGACCCCTTGCCCCCCCCCCTCTCCATCCTGGCACACGATGGCAAAAAGGTTAGCCATCACTGCCATAGAGTCTCCTCCTAGCACGGCGTCCTTTTTCCTCTACCTGCCCTAACCGAAAGCCCTATCAACTGTGGAGCCGACCAGCAACAGGGAGCCGCAGCAGAGGGATGAAAGAGCCACATGCGGCTCCAGAGCCACCGGTTGCTGACCCCTGTCCTAGACAATGATCCAGGAGAACTTCCTGGCCCTCCTAAATTTCTTGAATGCCCCATCCCTTCTCATACAGTCATAGGGTTAAAAGAAACCTTGGATGTCTTCTAGTTAACCCCCCTGCCCAAGGCAGGAACCCTTGGACAAATGACCATTCTGGACAAATGACTATCCACTCTTTTCTTGAAGACCACACCTAGTGATGGAGCATCCATAGCTTTAGCTAATAGCTCTCCAAGTCAAGGAAATTCCTCCTCGATTCAGGTTTGGACCTCTCTCCCTCTTTCCTCCAAGTTCTAGACAACCCAGGAGAACGTTCCGGTCCTCTTAAAAGTTCTTGAATGCCCCACCCAGAATTCTCCTAGAATCAAGGACCTTGGACCAGTAGTGAAATTAAATAATTTCCCCTACCGGTTCTGTGGGCGTGGCTTGTTCAGGGGAGGTCATGTGACTGGGCGGGCATGGCCAACTCGACATCACTCACATCGAGGGGCTCCTCACCGGCCCCTCCCCTCCCAGCCACTCCTCATCGCGAATGGCAGGAAAAGGGGGAGGGGAATATTCCTGCCTACCATCCTTCCCTCCGTCTGTGCTGAGATTGAGGAATGGATGACAGGCAGGAAAATCCCCTTCCCCATTTTCCTGCCTTTCACAAAAAACGGATCCATTCCAGCTGCTCCCCCCGGCCCCCTCCCTCCTGGGGACTACCTTAAAGGGTCAGGCTGCAGCAGCTGAATAGAAGGAGAAAAGTTAGCATTCTCTCTGCTGCATTGAACATTGAATTCTGTGGAATATCCAGCGGCCGGAAGAGGTGAGCGGTGACCAGCCGGGCGTGGGTGGGGCCAACGAGGGGTGATTACTACCGGTTCGGCGAACTGATGCCAATAATCCCTAGCGGTTCGCCCGAACCGGTCTGAACTGATAGGATTTCACCCCTGACTTGAATGATTTTTAGCAACAATGTTGAGTGTCCATGGGGACACTCAATTCTTTTGTAATACGCTGGATGGTTCTTCTTTCTCTCATCTCATAACCGCTCTACAAAGTTGGCCATTATGATGTCCTCCGACCAGAAGACACCGCCGAGGTCTTCAGATGAGCCCAAGAAACATCTAGGATGGGGTTGAGCTGATCCTTCTCCACCATTAAGCTGGCCTGCCCTTCCCTCCCTCTTGCCCTCTCCTCCTACCTTACGGGCATCGGAGTCCCTCCTCCTTCTCGATTTTCTCTTAAAATCTATGTCTTGGAAGCCAGCCTGGTCCTCGTTCTCCATTTCAGCCAGAATGCACTGGGACATATTGCCCTGGTAGTGCAAGATGAGGGTGAGAGAAGAAGCATCACCTGGCTCCACCACCAGCTCTTCTGAGGTGGCTTTCCAGTCACCTCACCTCTCCATCGGTAACTTTCCTCCAGGTTCTAGATAACTGACCAGGAGAACTTTCCGGTTCTCCTAAAGATCTTGAACATCCCGTCCTTCCTTCAAACCCTCATATTTGATCTTCACTCTTCCTCTCAAGGGTCTCGTACCTTGGCAACTGATCTATTGCAAGAGTTTTCCACCCACCCAAATGTTTCAATGGTCACTTGTGGACCACCCATTGATGTGGCCTGTCAGCCTCCAGCCCCTCCAGCAGCCGAATCAGAGGAGGAAGAGGAGAAGATGGCCTGGGAGTCAGGGCCAGGATCAAGGCAACCTTTGAGCTCCGAGGAGGAAGAGGGAGTGGAGCTGTCAGAGAAAGAGAGAGAGAGGCGGAGCCTGGGCCGTCTGTCAGCCCTCAAATGGAGAGTCAACAGCCCCCAGGTCTGGAGGTGGCTGATGAAGAAGAGGAGGAACAGCTGGGTCCAGTGCCTGACGCACAGATGCACACAAGGCAGAGGAGAGGAGAGCAGTGGAAATCTATGGGCCGGTTCTTGGGATGGAAGAGGTACCGCTACTAGCGCAGCTCCACCCTAGCTCTGGGGAGAAAAGGCAGGGACGGAGATGAATAGGTGTGGCGGTCAACTATTCATCTCCCTGCTGGACAGAGAAACTTTTTGCCGGGGCTGCTGGCGCTCCTAATAAAGGAATCTCGGTTAATTTCAGAGGGTCTGCCATGTTTGTGGAGCTGGGTTAGAACACCCACAAGAACTGATAAGGTGGACAACCTCCAAGCTCCTACTTGGAAGCCATATGAGCTGGTGGGTTCCAGGAGACATGTCTTCTCGGTCACCTCACCTGCTCTTTGGACCCTTGAGATTCAGCTGGCCTCTCTCTCTCTCTCTCTCTCTCTCTCTTTTTTGACCTTCCGTAAGGCCTTGGACCGGAGTACTGGATGAGCCTGCTTATATAGGTAGTCCTCGGCTTACAACCACAATCGAGCCCAACGTTTCCGTTGCTAAGCGAGACCGTTGGGAACTGAGCTTCGCCCCATTTTGTGACCTTTCTTGCCGTGGTTTTTAAGTGAATCACTGCAACATTTTAAGTCAGTAACCCGGTTGTTAAGTGAATCTGGCTTCCCCCCATGGGCTTCGCTCATCAGAACGTCGCAAAAGGGGAATCACCTGACCCCAGGACATTGCAACCGTCATAAATATGAGTCAGTTGCCAAGCGTCTGAATTTTTGATCACGCGACCCTGGGGGATGCTGCGACAACGGTCGCGTCAAAAACGGTCATAAGTCACTTTTTTCAGTGCCGTTCTAACTTTGAAGGTCACTAAATGAACCGTCGTAAGTCAAGGACTGTCTGTAATTGTCGGACTGATAATTGATTGTGGGTTGACCTTTAGTGTTTGAGGTGTTCTGGTCTCTACTATTATTATTTTTTTGTCTTATCGGTTTTCATTGTGGTTTTAAAGCTCTGTCAGCTACCGATTTTGCATGCTCATATAAATCAATTAAATAAATAAACACTCTGAAAAAGTAATAAACAACTACACTACAAAGTAAATGCACTATAAAATAACTACATAAATAAATACACTATCAAATCAATTAAATAAATAGTATGCTGTAAAATAAATAAATGACAGGTAATACACTATAAAATCAATACACTATAGAATAACTAAATCAATACACTATAAAATGAATCACTAAATACACTATAAAGTCACTACCGAAAATGAGACCCTGTCTTATAGTTTTTTGAACCCTGAAATAAGCGTTTGGCCTTATTGCCATGCGCTCAGAAGCCCAATTGGGCTTATTATCAGGGGATGTCTTATTTTGGGGGAAACAGAGTAAATAAATACACTATAACTAAATACATTATAAAATCAATTAAATAAATAAGTACGCTATAAAATAAATGATAGGTAATACACTATAAAATAAATAAATGAATACATTATAAAATAAATAATAAATAAATACACTATAAAATAAATCAGATAAATGCACTATAAAATCAATAAATAACTATGCTGAGAGAGAGAGATAATACACTATAAAATGAATCAATAAATACACTACGAAATCAATAAATACATCATAAAATCAATTAAATACATAAATAGATAAATACACTATAAAATAAAACAAATACAGTAGATAACACAATAAAAAATAACTACGGTACACTATAAAATAACTAAATACTACAAAATCAATTAAAGAAATAAATAAACTATAAAATAAATATAATATATTTATTTAATTATAAGATCGATAATAGACAGACAGGTAGGTAGGTAGGTGGATGATAGAGATAGATAGATAGATAGATAGATAGATAGATAGATAGATAGATAGATAGATAGATACATAGATATAAGAGATAGATAAGATCGATAGATTGATAGATATAGACAATCAGTCAGAGAGAGACAGAGCGAGAAAAAGAGACATAGAGAAAGAGAGAGAGACATAGACAAAGAGAGATATGAAAGGTATATATATATATAGAGAGAGAGAGAGAGAGAGAGAGACGGAGAGAGAGAGAGAAAGAGAGAAAGACAGATAGAGAGACTGACTATAGAACCCATGAAACAAATGAACGCCCTATAACATGAAGGAGTACCTGCGTCTGGACCTTCTCCACCTTCTCCTCCGACGGCTGATGCGGCAACTCGAGCTCATTCTCCTCTTCCACCTTCTCCATCCTCTCTTCTTCGTTGTAGTCGCTGGCGACGCCGACAATCTCCACCGACCAGAAGGAGACGCAGCTGCCCTTCTGGTTGGCGGGTTGCTTCATAAGGGAGTAGCGGCGATCCGTGGGCCACTGGGAGATGGACTCCAGAGACGGAGAGTCATCCAGCCTGCTTCGGTACTTGCTGCGGGAGATTGGCTCAAGTCAGGGCTCTCCAACCATGGGCAACTTTATGACTTGTGGACTTCAACTCCCAGAATCCCCCGGAAAGCTACTTGCCTTCAACCTTTAGGACTTCTGGAGCAGAAGGAATGTTGTCCTTCTTCTCCCAACCTATTCTGACCCAGCTCCCCAAACACGACAAACCCTCAGAAGTGAACTCGAAAAGATGCCTTTATTAGGAGCGCCGGCAGCCCCGGCAAAAAGTTTCTCTCTCACCGCAGGCTGACAAGTCTGGCTGGCTGGCTGCCACACCTATTCATCTCCGGCCCCTGCCTTTTATCTCCAGAGCTAGGGTGGGGCTTCTCTAGCAGTGGTGGTTCTTCCGTCCCGAGGACCGGCTCATAGATTTCCACTGCTCTCCTCTCCTCTGCCTTCTGTGCATCCAAGCGTCAGGCACTGGACCCAGCTGTTCCTCCTCCTTCTCATCAGCCACCTCCAGATCTGAGAGCTGTTGACTCTCCATTGGAGGGCTGACAGACGGCCCAGGCTCCGCCTCTCTCTCTCTCTCTCTGACAGCTCCACTCCCTCTTCCCCCTCGGAGCTCTCAGGCTGCCCTGATGCTGACCCCGATTCCCACGCCTCCTCCTCCTCCTCCTCCTCTGAGTTGGCTGCTGGAGGGGCCGGTGGCCGACAGGCCGCAACACAACCCATGCCCCGCCACGTGAATGACATACAGGTAGTCCTCCCCTTACAGCCCCAAATTTCCATTGTTAAGCGAGACAATGGTTACGTGAGCTTTGCCCCATTTTACACCCTTCCTGGCCCCGGTGATTGAGAGAACCACAGTCATGGTGAAGTAAGTCACATTCTTGGGAAGCGAATCTGGCTTCCCCCTTCCCTTGTCTGAAGGTCAGAAAAGGGGATCGCGTGACCCCAGGGACACTCGCAACTGTCGTAAATAAAAGTCAAGCGTCCAAATGTTGATCACATGTTGCAACGATCGTAAGTGTGAAAAAGAAGTCGCCCGTCGCTTTTTTCAGTGCCACTGAAACTTCGGACAGTCACTAAATGAACTGTTGCAAGTCGAGGAGTACCTGTATCTATGCCATTCCCTCGAGGGTGGATTTTGATACCTGCAGAAGTGCTGACATTCATCCACAAACCATTCTTAGTTTGTGGCATGCTCTAACCCAGGGGTGTTACACTGAAGGCCTGTGGGCCAAATCTGGCCTGCGGGTGGCTTAGATCTGGCCCACAGGGCTGCCCTGGAAACAGAGAAGGACCAGCCTGTGGTTCCTCTACCAGCAAAAACAGAGCTCACGAGGAACGCACACGGTGCACCCAAGTTGCATTTTCGCTGGCAGAGGGTTGCAGGAGGCTGTCCCAGCCAAAAACGGAGCCCAGGAGCCCGTTTTCGCTGGCAGAGCGCTCGGGCCACCACAGGGTCCCCACCCCCCGACACGAGTGATGCAGGGGTGGGTTCTAACCGGCTTTACTACCGGTTCTCTTCGTGCACGTGCTTCGCGCGAGATCGCCTCTTCGGTCGCGCACTTTGCGCAAGCACGTTGCGAATCTGCCCAGCTGAGGTGCGGCAATCCGTTCTGCCGCACCTCTCAGCTGGGCAAAAGAAAAAAGAAATATAAGGTCAGAATAACGCGGGGGCGGGCGGGAGGGCCCAGCTCCCGAAGAAAGAGAACCGGTTCGGTGACATAATAGCGTCACCGCTACCGGCTCGGCCGAACCGGGCCAAACCGGGAGCAACCCACCACTGGAATGATGACATGCTGGCCACATCCACCTCAGCCATGCCCACCCCAGCCCCCAAAGGTCAAACACAACCCTGATGCGGCCCTCAATGCCTGCCCTAACCACTCTGGTCCTTGCCATTTTAGCTTGGGCTGGTGTAGAGAGAATGGTCGCCTGGCATCTACAGAGGCCACTGCTCATATAATGCTCGATCGGTGCTATATAAAATATCAGGCCCTCATTACATCAACCCAGTAAATCTCTCTTCCCGGTGCCCCAAAAATGGTCCAAGGGATTGGTGGAGCAGGAAATGGGTCAGGGTGAAGAAAGATGGACCTCATGAATGAAAGCCAATGTCCCAGGGTCATGTTGCAGGATTCAATTTGGGTCGGTCACTTTGGGACTCGTGCTGGAGCTCATCTTCAGAGAACGTCTCTCTCACCATTCCGGTGAAAGTGTCTACGGAGATTCTCCGTCGTCCAGGTCACAGTTGTCCCAAAGGTGCTTTTTTAAAGACGCAACTGGACTTTCTTGGTTTTTCTCTGAAGACGTTTCGCTTCTCATCCAAGGAGCTTCTTCAGCTCTGACTGTGGATGGCGGGGAACGGAAGGATTGATACTCCTTGCAGACAGCTGGTCATTTGCATCCTTTTTAGAGAGTCGCTGAGGCCACTTGGAGCAGGGGTGAAATTAAACAATTTCCCCTACCGGTTCTTTGGGCGTGGCTTGTTGGAGGGAGGTCATGTGACTGGGCGGGCGTGGCCAACTTGACATCACTCACATCGAGGGGCTCCTCACCGGCCCCTCCCTTCCCAGCCCCTCCTTGTCGCGAATGGCAGGGAAATGAGGAGGGGAATATTCCTGCCTACCATCCTTCCCTCCGTCTGTGCTGAGATTGAGGAAGGGGTGACAGGCAGGAAAATCCCCTTCCCCGTTTTCCTGCCTTTCCATTCCAGCTGCTTCCCCCCTCCCCCTCCCTCCTGGGGACTACCTTAAAGAGACAGGCTGCAGCAGCTCCGTTCTGAAGGGAGGGAGAAAAGTTAGCATTCTCTCTGCTGCATTTAACGTTGAATTCTGTGGAATATCGAGTGGTCGGAAGAGGTGAGCGGCGACTGGCCGGGTGTGGGTGGAGCCAAGGAAGGGTAATTACTACCGGTTCAGCGAACTGATGCCCATAATCCCTATTGATTCGCCCGAACCGGTCCAAACCGGTCCAAACCCCTGACTTGGAGGTTTATTTGTGCCCTCCCTCCAACCTCCAAGTGGCCTCAATGACTCTCTAAAAGGATGCAAATGACCAGCTGTCTGCAAGGAGTATCAATCCTTCCTTTCCCCACCATCCTGTCAGAGCCGAAGAAGCTTCGTGGATGAGAAGCGAAACGTCTTCAAAGAAAAACAGAAGGCCAGTTGCCTCTTGAAAAATGGACCTTTGGGATTCTGGTGAGAGACGTTCTCTGAAGATGGGCTCCAGCATGAGTCTCACAGCTTGGAAGACTAAACCTCTGTCCCGGTAATCACCTCAGTTCGGATCCTACAAAGAAGGAACTCTCTTGATGCACAGTGTGAGAGTCCTACAGCTTCAGCCATACCTCTCCTCCAATTCCCCAAGCGCATTAAGACGGACTGTATGGACATAACTTCCATCAAGTCTTCCAAAAGTGGTAGACCAGTGTTAGAAAATAACCCAGGAGACCAAAAGGGAACATCTCCACCTTGGTTACCTGTTACTCAAGCAACTTGGAGGGTGAAGACGCTATTTCACCCATCAAGTCACACTACTGGAGCCCTACTCGCCATGGTTTACAGCAGGAGACTGTTGTAGCCACTTTAAGTGGACGTGGCCACTTTAAGACTTCTCGACTTCAACTTCCAGAATCCCTCAGCCAGCATGGTCTAATTCAGGGCTTTCCAAACTTGGTCACAAAACTTGTGGACTTCAAATCCCAGAATTCCCAAGTTGACTAAGTTTGGAGACTCCTGCTCTAGAATATGAAGAAGAGACCAGGATGATCAACCAGGACTCCATCTTGAAGCATTGCAAGCCCATCACCCTGGACCTGAGCGGGACCAGAGGCATCAGGGCTCAGAATCCAGACATTGGAAGGGGTTTCAGAGGTCATCTAGTCTCTTCCGAGGTCAAGATTTTTCCAACGGGGAAATGAGAGGATTTGACTCTCCCTTTCCATCTGCTTGAACCTCAAGGTGGTTACCATCACCAGTTTTTCCACGTAATTTGCTTCTTAAAATTGCAGATTAAATGGGAAGAGGTGTAACGTGTACATTGCCCTCTGGAATGGAACTGGAGATGAACGCCTTGGACTCCAGTCGACGTCACTTTGAGACAACCCATCTGATTCCCAAGGAACCTGGAGATGGGTGGCTCCTTCTGAAGGCCACCAAGTTGGAGAACGTTGAAGGAAACCACATGGCTCTAGACTAGAAAGATCTACCCACACCCCATCTTTCACCACCCATCTCAGGGCACCTCGTTCTCATCCATCTCCAGGTGGAACAGCTGCACCAGTAGCAGAAACATCAACACCTACTTGTATTTCATGGCTTCGAGCTTCTCCAGCTGGTGGACCATAAGCTTGTTGCTAGCCTGCAAAGTCAGGAACTCTTCTTTCAGATCCGTGTATTGGCCTTTCGCAATGTCCAGCTCACCTACAAAGCACAGGAGCAGGGATGAAAGGAAGCTAAAGTCCTCCAGAAGGACAAGAGTTAGAAGGGTCCTTAGAGGTCTTCTAGTCCAACCCCCCACGGCTCCTGGCTGGCCCCTTCCAGCCCTTGGATTCTATATAAACTCTCTCTCCTGCAAAGCCAAATAAACCGAGATTCTGAACATCCCAACATTCATCCAGGAGTTCTATATAGCGAAACGCATCTACCGTTTCATAGAAATACGGTCGATTCCTGGTTAACAGATTTAATGTTTTTTATAATGATTTTTTAAATTGTATTGTGAGCCGCCCTGAGTCTTCGGAGAGGGGCAGCATATAAATTGAATTAATTAAATTAAATAATTAAATTAAATTAAATTAAATTAAATTAAATTAAATTAAATTAAATTAAATTATTAAAATGTTTAAGCCAGTTTGGGGATGGTTCCAGGCTGGAAACCAGGAGACGGGGAGTTCTAGTCCTACCTAATGTATGAAAAACTGGACACTAAAAGTCGTGCATTTGGCAGAGATGGCAAAAATTTTCAGCATATCTTAAAGACCATTCACACGAAAGATACATAACGGAATGGAGAAGATGGATTGACTATATTCAAAACAAGTATCAGACTAAGAAGGTTCATATAGCTGATGAGTGAAACATTTTTAACTTTTAGCTTATGTTTATCGGGTTTTGAGTTATAAGGAGTTAAAGACCTAGAAAGAATTTGAAGTCAACAATTTGTTAGCATATTTTAGTTTTATGTTTGTGGATGCTATACCCTGTGCTTGTTCTGGGAAGTCAAGGGAGGCGGGTGGGGGGGAAGGCTGAGGGGGGGGTGAGAGGGCAAGGGGGGAGGGAAGGGCTGAGGGGGGGGAAGGGCGGGGGAGGGAGAAAATGTTTGTATTTCTTATAAAACTTTTCAATAAAAAAAAAAACTGGCCAGATGACTTTGGAACAATCACTAGGAGACTGTGAGTTCAAGCTGGGTGATTTTAGGCCCATCACCAGGAGACTGGGAGTTCTAGTCCTACCATAGCCATGAAAGCTGGTTGGGTGACTTTGAGCCAATCACCAGGAAGACGGTGAGTTCTAGTCCTACCATAGCCATGAAAGCTGGTTGGGTGACTTTGAGCCAAACACCAGGGGACACGGAGTTCTAGTCCTGCCTTAGTTATGAAAGCTGACTGGGTGATCTTGGGCCAGTCCGTTACTCAGCCCAATCCACCTCACAGGGTTGTTGTTGGGAAAACAGGAGGAGAAAGAAATATAAAGTATTTATACAGTACCTTGAATCATTTATAAAAAATAACAAAAGTGAGCTATAAATAAATAAGTTAATTGATAAATAAGATAATCCTATTCCACTGCTGGAACGGCCTGGGAATAGCCCAGATCTTCACCCAATGGAAAATCTAAAGAAACTTTTTAGTCAGAAGCGACCCAGCAATAAAACCCAGTTAAGAGAAGCCATCATTCCATCTTGGTTTCACATTAGAACAGCTGCAGATCTAAAAGACTTGGTTCACTCCATGGGAAGACGTTGTAAGGCTGTAATTCATGCTAAAGGTTACCCAACTAAGGATTAACAGACGTGGTGATCATTTTTGCATATCTCACTTTTTCTACATGTTTCATTTTTCTTCTTTACACTGTAACTGCTATTCTAATAGCAAATCCTTCATAAAAGTTATTGCATTACATTCTTGATTCAATTATCTTTCCATGGATATATAATTGTATGGTGCTACTCCAAAAAAAATGTGGTGTTATTAGCCAGTTTCAGAAAATACACTTTTCCCAAAAGGTTTCCACAATTTTGGCCACTACTGCATATTAAAAAAAATAAAAATAAATACAATTAGGGAGCCAAGCGGCAGTTACCCCGATTTTTTTAAAAAAACAAAAGGGTACCTTGGAGCCGAGCTACTTCCTGGCTCAGGCTGGACAGCTGTTGCTCCTGAAGGGGGGTTTCGCTAGCGTCAACGTTGTTTTCGGGAGCCGAGTCCTGTATCATCTGGATTTCAGCCCGCAGGGCGGTGAGCTCCATTTCGTACTCATTGTGGACCCGTTGGACTCTTTCCAGCTCGGCTTTCATCCGGCAAAGCTCTTCTTGTAAACTGGCGATCTCGTTCTCGTGCAGGGCGGCTGCTTCTTCGGCTTCTAGGCGCAGGTTATGGATCTCCTCGTTGGCGTCCTGCAGATCCTGGGCCACCTGCCCCAGCTCCACATCCTTCGTCTCCTGCAGGGAATCCAATTCGTCCTTTCGCATGTGCATCTGGGCTGAAGAAAGGGAAGGAAGGAAGGAAGAATTGATGTATGACACTCAGCTGTACATCTCCACCCTGGACCACCCCAATGATGCCCTTGAAGTGGTGTCCCGGTGCCTGGAGGCCGTGCGGATCTGGATGGGGAGAAACAGACTCAGGCTCAACCCATCCAAGACCGAGTGGCTGTGGTTTCCGACGTCCCGGTATAGTCAGTTGACGCCATCTCTGACTATTGGGGGCGAGTCGTTGACCCCCACGGAAAGGGTTCGCAACTTGGGTGTCCTCCTGGATTCACGGCTGTCTTTAGAAGAACATTTGACGGCTGTGGCCAGGAGGACTTTCTATCAGGTTCGCCTGATCCGCCAGTTGCGTCCCTTTCTAGATCGGGACTCCTTATGCACAGTCACTCATGCCCTCGTCACCTCCCGCCTGGACTACTGCAACGCTCTCTACATGGGGCTCCCCTTGAAGAGCACTCGGAGGCTCCAACTGGCGCAGAGTGCGGCCGCGCGGGTGATTATGGGAGCAACGTGGAGCTCCCATGTAACACCTCTCCTGCGCGAGCTGCACTGGCTCCCGGTGGTCTTCCGGGTGCGCTTCAAGGTTCTGGTTACCACCTTTAAAGCGCTCCATGGCTTAGGACCTGGTTATCTACGGGACCACCTGCTACCACCAATAGCCTCCCACCGACCAGTACGCTCCCATAGAGAGGGCCTCCTCCGGGTGCCGTCGGCCAAACAATGTCGACTGGCGGCCCCTAGGGGGAGAGCCTTCTCTGTGGGGGCACCAACGATCTGGAACGAGCTCCCCCCGGAGATACGGAGGATCCCGGATCTACATACCTTCCGCAGCGCCCTCAAGACCTTTTTATTTCACCAGGCTGGCCTGACCTAACTTTCCCTTTTTAAATTGTAAATTTTAAATTTGTCTTATAAATTGGGGTGTTTTAAATTTGTTTTGGGCCAAAGTATTTAATGTATTTTAAATGGTTTTTAACGTTTGTACTATGTGTATTTTATCTTTTGGCTGTTCACCACCCTGAGTCCTTCGGGAGTACGGCGGTATATAAATTTAATAAATAATAATATTTCTATGCAGAGATATATTTGCACAGTTGCCTCTTAAAATTTAATTAAAACATCATGACAAATCTGTTTGGGGAAAATTGCCACTGTATTTCCCAAAAATAACTTAGGGTGGAGTGTGGAAGCAGTGACAATACAGATGCTGAACCAGATCTTCCAGCCTCTATCGTTATTATCCATGTTGGCTTATTATCCATGTTGGCTTATTTGGATTTATAGCCCATCAAGATTTGGAGAGCCAAGACATAGCAGAATTGAGCTGATAGTTTAGATGGTGTTAAGGAAATTGTTATTGTCCTTCCTGAACACTTATTTTGCAATTATAGTTACTTTATAGCATATTATTAGCATTAGAAACTTAGCATGAATTTAAAAAGAAAAAGGTTTTTGTAGTACTGAATACTCTTTTACATAAATATATTACATCATGGTCCAATTTCATGAAATTCACTGTTTACTGTGAGATCAGAGCAATACATAATGTGGGAGCATTACATAGTGTTAGAGTTGCCTAGACATTGTAAATGAGAAATGACAATGATACTTCATATTTCTTATGACATCTATCATAAGAATTAGTTTTGTGGCCGATCAAGAAACAGTCAGGCACGGGAAGGGTTTTGTGGCTCCCGGTGTTTTCTTTTCTGTGGGAAACGGGTCCAAATGGCTCTTTGAGTGTTTAAGGTTGCAGACCTTTGGGCTAACATTAAAGATAAAAGATAAAGAAGATACAGAATATTTTTTTAACATGGGATTTGTTTTACAAATGGTTAGACCACAAAGGTGGAAATCAGAAGTGGGAAGAATATTATTATTTATAAGTAAACATTGTTACTATTACTAATATCATGTATAAGTAAATTGACTCAGATAATACACTGTATAATTAAGCACTTATGTAAGTTAAAGAAAAATGTACAAATAACATTTATATATATGTGTTGGATCGTGGGTGAGTGGGCTGCTTGTTGTAATCCTACCATTCTTGTTTTCATTAGCTGACAAACTTTGCTGCAAGGAGTTTCGAAATATTCTGTCATTTTTAACATATTATAAGTATTTAGTATTATTTAGTATTATTATACATAATAATAGTAGTAATAGTATTCTTTACTTGTGTATAATAATATTCTTCCAACTTCTAATTTCTACCTTCGTAATCTGACCATTGATAAAACAAATCCCAAGTTAAAAAATATTCTGTGTCTTCTTTGACCTTAATCTTTAAAGTTAACCTATCCATTTCCGCACAGTCTAATATTTTTTTAATCCTATTTTCATCTGTAGGAGTTTCCTCATTTTTCCAGTGTTGTGCAAATACAATTCTCACTGCTGTCAAAACATGTAGTATTAAATATACGTTCCCTTTGTAGCAAAATATCCTGTCTTGAATGGGCTTCTGCCGGCAGTATGTGCTTTGCTTATGAATAGAGCCAGCTAGATAGTTGGCTTCCTCTTTCAATAAGCTCTTTATTTCCTTAAGTGCTGGCATCTGTGGTGGGCTATTAAGAAAGACTGCTTTCTGCCTCTAAAAACTTGTTTATTCCTCCTTTAGAGAAATATAATATTCTTCCCTTTTTTTTAATATTTCCCAAAATATTTCATTCTTCTGGGGGGCGGGGCTTCCCACACTCCAATGCTGACTTGGTAGAGCTGGTTTGAGGGGGACACACCAATAGGAGACAGCCTTGGGGGTCCCTAAAGAGTCCCTAGGGAGTTGGGCGGCATAGAAATGCGACTAATAAATAAATAATAAATAAAGGGAACCTGTTTAGGATAGGTACATGGTAGAATTCAGCATTAACGCAACCTTGGCAATTTTAAGATGGGTGGACTTCAACTCCCAGAATTCCCCTTTCTGTCTGGAAATGAACCAGTCAGTTTCTTGAACTTAGACTAACTTTATTGTCACTTTGAATGTACACGAATCGGCATACATTAAAATGAAAATCCGTGGCCTGCAGCTCTCAAAGTTTCGCTACCTCCAAAATATTCTACGTAAGCATGACAAAATAAATAAATCCAAAATTATGTAAAAATACCCACATATATTATGTGACACAGAGAAACAACACAGTCTACGGCGAGAAAAACGAATGAAGAAACTCAACGTGATGCCAAACTAGGTTACAATGATTGTTAAGCTCACATTGCCAACTAGCGAAGTCCACAGGGAAAGCTAGATTCACTTAACCATGTTACTAACAGGCCTCGCTTAACAACTGTGGCAAGAGCGGTCACAAAACGGAGCAAAATTCACGTAACGGTTTCACTTAGCAACCGAAAAGTTGGGCTCTCTTGCAGCTGTGAATCCAAGGCTACCTGTATGTACCTGCCTCTCTCTCAAATTCGAGGCTAAATGCATTTTTTTTCCCCCTAACATCCAGGAAATTCTTGCCAGGGGTGAGAGGGCATAAATTCACTGCCCCACAGAACGGGGCGGCACCCGTGCGAGTTAAAACAGGAACTGAAAAACCCATAACTGGAAAAAATTAAAATTTCAATTGAATGAAAGCATCGGTTTAAATAAAAACCCTTCAATTCGACGTACATAATTAAAAATGACACTGAATTCATTCGGATCCCCGTGGGTTAGGACAAAGAGATCAGGATGGGTTCACCCCGTCGTCGTCCCCCGGTTTCCTAAATCAAGTTTTGTTTTAAAACAAACCATGATTTGAGTAAAAACAAACCCAGATTGGGTTTTAGAGACACCCAAGCAGAGGAGCAAGGGTTTTGAGCATCAGTTGGCAACCGAAACTGGCGGATATGGGAGGCAGGAGGGTCTCTATTAGTGGGAGGGGGTGTGAAGGAGGCCATGCCGGGTGCCCAGTGGGTGAACCCACACGGTCTGGCCCTGGGTGCAACTCTACGTAGGAACCTGTGGGCATCCCAGAGACTTGGAGGGGATGGAACCAGGTGGGGAGGGGGTCCCTGGCAGTTGGGCCATCCTGGAGGCCACCGAGGGGGTTGGTTGCTGTGGCAACGCACTCCCCCTCCTCTCCTGAGAGGGGACTCACCGTTCCCAGATGTGGAGGGTTTCGGCTCCATGGGGGTGGGGGGTCCAGGGGCTCTAGGGGACCCCCTGGCCCAGCCTCTGTGCCTGGCCTGGGGAGGGGGCCTTGGCCCCTTAAAGACACAGTGTCTTTCATCACTGACTCCTCACGCTGAGAAGCATCTGAGAGGTTTGTATCGCAGAAATCTCTATTCAGTGCAGCATCTTCCTTAAATGTGTTTACATCCTGCCAACGAAGAAAAATCCCACTACCTTGCCAAGCAATTTACAGAATGCCACTGTTAAACGGATCTCATTTTTAGAAATGTGCTCCTGATGCTCACTCAACATCTGGTTCCTTGCAGTTTCTGTTCATTTATTCTGGGATTTTCTCTGAATGTACCGAGCGGGGAAACAAATCTCGGTATCTTTTCAGGATAACATTCGTTATGTATGGGACCTATCAAATGCTCATTTCCCCCCACTCCCCTTGTCGGGTTAAATATACCAGGCTGTTTTCTCATCGATGTTCTTTTTAAAATGTGGCACCCAGATGTGGAAATGTTATTCTACAAGCAACTTGTAGTAATCAAGACTTAGGCATTTCTATAATTGTTTATATATATTTAACATTTAACATTATTATTATCTCTTTTATTCATTAAACATGAAACTCAAGTCACCTGAACATTTAAAAATGTGACATGAATATGATTGATTGGTACTAATGGTTGATACGGGTTGCTGCCAGCGTCCTAGGTATCAACCAAGTACCTTCTTAAAATATATGATGTTCCGAGTAGCACAGGTTTTTTGCAGTTGCTGGTGTTATTGCAGGAAGCTGCAATTTCTTGAAGTGTTTTGTGAAATTCTTGGGCATGGTACCAAGTGCCCCGATGACAATGGGTATCACTGTGACATGTTTCATCCATAGCCGTGTAGTTTCTATGGCCAGGTCGCAATATTTCATGATTTTTTCCAGTTCTTTTTCTTCAACTCTGGCGTCTCCTGGTACCACAATGTCAACAAATTGTACGTTTCGGTTTTCGACAACTGTGATATCTGGCGTCTTGTGTTCCAAGTGACGATCCGTCTGTATTCAAAAGTCCCACATGATCTACACCTTCTCATTTGCTGTAACTTTTTCCACTTTATGTTCCCATGACTTTTTGGATACAGGAAAGTTGTATTTTTTACATAATGACCAGTGGATTATATTATTATTATTGGTTAATCTTTAGTGAGATTCACAGCCTTTGAGGCTGGTTAATAGCTCAGCAGCTCGAGTCCTAACCAAGGACCTAGGAACTGTTAAGGTATTGTCGGAGGATGTAAGCTGTTCCGAGTAAGGTGGTTTTTTGTAGAGTCAAAATGTTCAAATCCGGTAAATTTAGAATTTCTAAATAGCGGGGTAGCCCTTTGGGTATTGCTCCAAGGGCTCCAATTACAATCGGGACAGTACACGATTTCTTTTTCCACAGTCGCTCAACTTCAATTTTCAAATCCTGGTACTTTGTGATTTTTTCTTGCTGCTTATCTTCAATCCGTGCATCACCAGGTATTGCAATGTCAGTGAACCATACTTTTTTCTTTTCAACTATTGTTATGTCAGGTGTGTTGTGGACCAAGTGCCTGTCAGTCTGAATACTGAAGTCCCACAAGATCTTAAGTTTCTCATTCTCTAAAACTTTCTCAACCTGATGTTCCCAGTGGTTTTTGCTGTACTCAGATCCATATTATTATTATTATTATTATTATTATTATTATTATTATTATTATTTTCATTATTTTCATTATTTTCATTATTACTATTATAATCTGAACATTTGTTATTTCTCTGTAAAACAAAACGCACCCAGACAATACACTGTTTTCAAAGTATCTATATGCATAATTAAAATATAAAATAATAATAATAATAAAAAGTCTTAAGTACTTCTTTGGGACCTTTTGCTCATAAATAAAATTGATTGACTGATACTCATTCCTTTAATTAAACAATCTGGAAAGCGGCCCATTTTGCAATGCTCTAAGCAGCGAACAAGGATTAAAACCCAAACTAAACACAATATATAGATAAGGACCAAAAGCAACACATTGATGCAAAAAACACACATAAGGTCTAAAAACAATCCACCGTTAGTTTTTTCGAATGATCTTAGGCTACGCAAGGGGGTTTGCTTTTGGAGAAAGAGCTTAAGACTGCAAGTAATATTTGTCAGCAGGCTTTTTAAAAGAACACAGCGCCTTCGGCAATCTTGGGAAAGCTAATACAAAGTGCACCATTTCCAAATATTATCAACTCTCCACCTGACAAGTGCATTCCTGACTAGGGAAATGAATAAACCAAATTTTGCTAGGACCGTGGGATCCTGGATGTTCCTACCTGCAGCCCCGGAACAGACACTGGGAGTTTGATGTTCAAGAAACTGCGGACTAACTGGTAGGTCCCAGGTACTCCGCCCAGTTGGGCTTGGTGCAAATTTCCAAAGACCGTCATCAAGGTATAGTTCTTGTAGCTGCAAGGAATCAGGCATGGCTGATCAGTCAGGATAGCTGAACATCCTTTTAACGATTTCACACAAAGTATCAGAATCGGAATAGAGCTGGGAGGGGCCTTGGAGGTCTTCTAGTCCAGCCCCCTGCTCAAGCAGGAGACCCTATACCCATGATGGCGAACCTATGGCACACGTGCCACAGGTGGCACATGTAGCCATATCGGTGGGCACGCAAGCTCAGCTCCAGCGCACATGGGCGTGCCTGACAGCTGATTTTTGGGCCTTCTGGGCCCACCAGAAGTAGGGAAACAGGTTGTTTCCTGCCTCCAGAGGGCCCATTTTTCTCTCTCCCCAGGCTTCAGAGCCTTTCTAGGAGTCTGGGGAGGGTGAAAACAACCTTCCCCACCCCCCCGGAGGCCCGTTTGCCAACTTCCGGTGGGACAGGAAGTCCCTTTTTTTTGCTGTGAGAGAGAAAAACAGGCCTACTGGACCATCGCGTGCCAGCAGCGGGTAGAGTGGGGGGGGGAGGTTGCGTGCATGCGCTGGGGCGGACCGCATAGAATTATGGGTGTGGGCACGCACCCTCCGCGCTCCCCCCTCTCCTGGCACGCGATGGCAAAAAGGTTACCCATCACTGCCCTATACCATTTCAGACAAGTGGCTGTCCAGTCTCTTCTTGAAGCCCCCAGTGATGGAGCACTTACAAATCTTTTGGAGGCAACTTCTGTTCCACTGGTTAATTGTTCTCACTGTTAGGAATTTTCTCCTTAATTCCAGATTGCTTCTCTCCTTGATGAGTTTCCCTCCATTGTTTCTTGTTCTGCCCTCTTATTATTGGAAAATAAATTGACACCCCATCCCCCCTTCTTTGTGTCAGCCTTTCAAATGCTGGAATACTGCTATCATGTCCCCCTAGTCCCATGATGGCAAACCTGTGGCATGCGTGCCAGACGTGGCACGCAGATCCCTCTCTGTGGGCACGCATGCCGTCGCCGGCTGCTCTTTTGGTTTCTAGCGCGCACATGGGCGCCAGCCAGTTTATCTTTGCACACATCAGCCACCTGGTCGTCAGGTTTCCAGCACTCCAGCACACGCGAAGAGCAGCTGGCTGGCGCGCACTGCCAGGTGGTCGGCACGTACATTCACGCCAGCCAGCTGGTCTTCAGGTTTCCAGGGCTCTGGCATGCGCACGCGTGTTCCGGTTTGGGCACTCAGTGCCGAAAAGGTTCTCCATCACTGCCTTAGTCCTTCCTTTCTCTAGACTAGCCAAACCCAAATCCTGCAACCGTTCTTCATGTTTTAATCTCCAGGACTTTAATCATCTGAATTGCTCTCCTTTGCACTTGTTCCAAAGTCTTCACATCTTTTTTTGTAATGTGATAG